CCCTTCTCCTCCCCCCTCCCCGGATCCATCACTGCTTATCAAAATCTACAACACCTATACGGTCTATTTAGATGGAAATTTCTATTAAAGACATAAAAATTGTCATTATGAGAAATAAATCCTTGAAGTCCTGCGGAACTTCCGAATAGGACAAGTTCGCAATCAGAGTGTAACTAGTAGCTAGCTTGCTACTTTAAGCAATTAGAGGTTTAGGCGATAGTAGCTGGCATTCTTTACTGATAATTCGGTTGTTAGACGAAGCATAGAACATAGGATTTTTATAATTCTAAAAAATCTTGAAAATTCGTAAAAACTGAGAGTTTGCAGAGAAGAAGCTATAAGTTTGAAAAATGGAAAAGAAGTTTGAGCATTACATACTTGGCTAAATATTCAACCACTTACCAAAAGAGAATAAACTGGCCGTAAATGCTGGTGCAAGATACTTTTGTGTGTCCGCTGGTAATCGTGATATAACTGATCGCATAGCAAAACAACCAGCAATTTCATAAGCTAGCACAATGAGGAAATCCCTCTACAAAAAATTCCAATAATGATCAAAATAAGCGCTTGTACTTTTTAAAACTATATTTTGCGTACCTGGTGCACTATAGAGCACATATTTTGACTATTTACAAACATTTCCATATGTGCTTGCGAATACTGTAATGAATGAAACCATAAGGTCCTGGCTATGTGCCAAGCCATAGCTCCGCCCATTATCTCAGCCAATAGGTAAAGAAGAAATCGTGAAAGCCTGTAACATCCTGATTGGTCAAAGTGTTCTTGGCCCATGAGGAAGCCTCTCGATTATACCTAATTTCTCGATAATATAACATTTCAATAGGAGTAAGTGGCGTATTATAGCTGCCTCGACCCGTTGAACTATAGAAAAATCCAAGTATCGTAGTGGCAATAAAATACGACGATACCCCATAATGCTGTACGATTAATGCTGTAAAAATAAACTTAGAGAAAAACATGCCAAATATGAAAGTTTTCCTTTTTGTACCAAAACTCTAGAAAATGAACACAAGCCATAGATAAATTACCCTAATTTCATTCACACGCGCACTTTTTCGAATTTTCAAACAAGCCCCTCGGACGCTTCACTGCGTTTCGGAAAACGATT